AACTGGATGGTTCATCCATCTTACGCCCTTGTGCTACTTCCTGTAATACAAATAAAACTGAGTGGGTCAGGCTTGGGAGCCTGGTGAGCATATAGGGTTTTCAACCCACAATAAATAATTAAATTAATTATTATCAACCAACAATAACCCAGTTACCCATTCCCGTTATTCTCACTTTACGTCCCTAAAATAACTAACACAAGGGACCTAATCTAAGAATATTTTCATCGGGGTGACAACACATGCTGCGGGGGTTCCTCAGCAATATAAGTCAAATAAGGCAACCATGAGGGGGATGGAATACAGCGAATGAACACCCAAGTTCATTAACACCTACAGGTTATGTAACGCCCGCAGATCCGGGCTAGTCAATTTAAAGGCAATAGGGGTCAAAAACAACTTTTCGACAAAAAGATTATTTAGAATAAATAATCTTAACCAAGTTGTAGAATATGTCACAAGGTTTCCGTACATATAAAGAACGCCGAAATCCGAGTTATAACGAAGAAGTTATGACCCGTCGAAGTTTCGCGTCGTAACCGGCACGGCGCCGGGAAGCGTAAATAGTAAATTTATGATAGAGAGAGATTTAGCCTTAGCGCTCTAAACAAAAGTCGTAGAATATGTTAAACTAAGAACATCGATAAAAAGAACGCCTAAATCTGACTTCGTATGAAGAAGTTATGATTTTTCGAAGTTTCGGATTAGCGGTGTACAGCCCGAAATTTGAATTTTAGATCGATTGATTTTTAGCCGACACAACCTAAACAAGAATCGAAGATCTCGTTATTAGTAGCGTAACGATAAAAAGACAGACGAAAATGGACATCGGATAAAGAAGTTATGAGATTTTAACGGACCAATCCTGTCCCGGCCTGTTAAAAAGATAACTTTAAAAATAAAGTCAAAATTAGCTGACGGAGTCTAAACGAAAGTTGTAGAGTACGTCTCCACCTACGCGTGGATATAAATAACGTCAAAAACGGAGTTCGTATGAACGAGTTACAAATTATAATAGCATATTTACGTATTAAAATAAAGTATAAATCATGTATACGTACACATATATATACATATGTATATATCATTAGAAAGGTATCGACGATGCGGTCATTATAAGACTAATGTTGAGTTCTTTCGACATTAGTTTAGTACAAATATCATTAAATCCATTTAAAATAGTATTATAGAGGGGTGTTTAGTTGTTTATATAACTAAAAGGTCATTAAGGAATTATGGAGGGTAGTTTTTGAAAATTCAATTAGTATAAATAAGAGCCTTGGGTTCTCATATTTCTTGCACCATTCTCTTGATTCAAGAGTCTTTCTCTCCTTATCCCCTGAGCATTTCGGTCCCTCGTGATTCGACTTCTCTTTCTGTAGTTTTAGTATAGTAAGGTGAGCGCTGAAGCGCTGCACGAATCTTTCTTAGAAAGATTCAGCGACGAAATTCTGCCCATGCAGAGCCCGACTCCTAGCTAAAATCCCCTTGAAAGTAAGTTATGCTTACCCTATTTTAAATATAGTTTATATTTAAAATTAGTATTGTTATTATAAATTTATAATAAATATTTGAGCTATTATTATGACTTATATAAGTGTCGTTATAATATCTTTTAACTACTCGCGGTACGGGGAATCTGATTTAAAGGGCCGCATAGGGTTGTTGGATTTCAGAAGTGTTATACGCCAAAATGGTCCTGCCCTCCGGTGTTTTATGTCTGGCCCCTGTCTGTACATAGTAGTTGGAAAGTATTGTTTAAACGCTTATATAATAATAATAATAAGACTAATAATTAGTGACGGTAATATTAGACTAAAATCTAGTGGTGATAATATTAGGTTTCGAAGCGCTGTCCGAGTACCGAGTCACCACCTTCTCAGGTGAGTGCATAGTCCATTTCATCTTACACATAGATATGAAGTATTTTATATAAACTACGTGCTATGTGTGCATATTATCTGAATACTTGTTGTCTATGCTGGATGAACGTTTTATACATGTTTTAAAGAATTTAAGTTGTATACGTATTTTATATATACGAATATGTTGGGTATGAGATGGGTAGATGAATGATGAGAGATAGAAGATGATACATTGGCAGCTATAGACTTAGTGCCTATGGGACAAACACCGGTAGCAATGGACTTAGTACCTGTTAAACGTTGGTAGCTATGGATTTAGTACCTGTTGGGAATTGGTAGCTATGGACTTAGTACCTGTTGAACATTGGTAGCTATGGACTTAATACCTATTAGATAAAGACTGGTAGCTATGGATTTAGTACCTGATGAATAGACCATAGCAGCTATGGAATTAGTGCTTTATGAACGAACATTGGCAGCTATGGATTTAGTGTCAGTCCTATAACCCTAGAGGTAAGGGACTTCAGAATAAACGAATGCAGGATAGATGACTCTTAGGTTAAATCCTTAAAGAGTAAAGAAGATAATGGGGATGGGTAATTGGGTTGATTGTTTGATTGAACATACTAATTATATTATTGTGGGTTGAAAACCCTATGTACTCACCAGGTTTCCCAACCTGACCCACTCAGTTTATGTATATCACAGGTGACGAAGTGAAGTGACATTACACTGAGAGATTTAAAAGAGATGTAGATCACTAGTGTAAATCATTGTAAGTTCTGTTTATGCTTATGTTTCGGTATTAACGATGACATCCCAAACATTTTAAAATGAAATAAATACGTTTCTTCGAAAATGTTTTAACAACGTATTTACCATGTTTTTCTGGGAACAAATTCCGCAACCTTTTTATAAAATGAAGTACTCTGATTTTTATAAAGCATAAACAAAAATCGGTCTTTTCTGACCGTGATTTTGGGGATGTCACAGGTTATGAGCCTGCTAGCGTTCCACTGGACTGTCTAGAAAAGTCCGTGGTCGTCATCTAAATTCCGCTAGATGACTGGATCAAAACAACAACGAGGCCTCTCATCTGTTTATTACACACTAACTATCTACCCATGTTCTACCCAACATTTTAGTAGATAAAAACATACATTTTATACATATTTTCAAAACCTGTATAGCATGCTTGATCAATACATTTTCCATATAACAGATGAGGAACACACACATAACACGTATTTCATATAGAAATAATCAGATCTGTAAGATAGAAGAAAGTGAATATACATTCACACACATAACAACAAAATATACACATAACACGTGTCTCGTATAGAATACTTCATAATTATACGTTAGGAGAAAGTAACAACGCACTCACACGTATAAACAACAATATACTTAATACACTCAAACCATACTTGTATTATTATTGTGTTTATGAAAGGTAGTATACACTCACTTGATCAGAAGATGATCGGACAACACTACGACTTGCAAAAGTAGTAATCCTCAGCAGATCTGGAAGATCTCTACAAAAATCGAACTTCTCGCGGGCAGAGCTTCGGCTCGGAAACTGCACTTCTCGGGATCTTCGGGATCTCGGGACTTGCTTCGGGACTCGGGAATATTACCGGGGCTTCGGGGTACTTCTAGCACACAAATCGATGCAAAACGGGAGAGAGAAGAGAGAAAATAGAAACCCTAAACGGCTGGCCCTTCAAATCTATTTATAGGGCAATTTTGGCCATTGCCACGTCGTGGCAACCTTTTTCCACATCGTGGGCTTGGTCGTCACTGCATGCGCCATCCCAAGTTGCATCTGGGGGCCTCCCGGAGGTGTCAGGACATTTGCCACGTCGTGGCACTGCTTGCCACGTCGTGGTCTCTGACAGTTTTGGGGTTTCGCGCCCCGAACTTCAGAAACTCATAACTTTCGCATACGAACTCCGTTTTCGACGTTCTTTATATCGCCGCGAAGGTGAGATCATGATCTACAACTCTCGTTTAGACTCCATTGGCTAATTTTGACTTTATTTTTAATATATTATAAGTATATTACTTACATATTATTTTTAGTAGGCCGGGACAGGAAAACTCCGTTCGAAATTCATAACTCCTTCATCTGAACTCCGATTCCGTCCGTCTTTCCGTCGTTGCACTATTATCGATGAGATCTTCAATTCTCATTTAGATCACTAAGGATAGATATCTATCTACCTTAAATTCACTATTTACATCGCGCTGGGTCGTGCTGGGTCGTGCCGGTTCTGTCGCGAAACTTCGACAGGTCATAACTTCTTCGTTATAACTCGGATTTCGGCATTCTTTATATCTTCGGAAACCTTGTTTCAACTACTAAAACATTATCTAAAGATATCGAGTTTATTTTACACTTAAATTTTGACGCTTATTTTTATTCTTAATTAATCAAACCACATAATTAAGCAATTAAGCACAAAACACATAATACTCAAATAATACACTTTTATTATTTCAAAACGGGTTACAAAGGTTAACCTAGACCGTTACATTGCTAAAAATGGCAAGCCCAGAAACACAGGCGTTACAGTACCACATCAACACGACAATTCTCTACCATTAATATGGGATACCCACCACTAACACACCACTCCACATCATTATTTTTATTTATTCTTAATTCAAAAATACAATAAAATTACATTTTTTATAATTAAAAAGCATTCATTTATAAAAACTAGTGTTTCATTAATTATAAAAATAAAATTACAACTTCAAACTACATTACTTAGTTAATTCAGAAAAAAATTACATTAATTAAAAGAACAAAGAAACATATATATAAAAAACCTAATCGTCGTTCATGCTATGTTGGTATAAATGTTCTGCGACATCTTCTCGAAGATTGAAACACATTTTACTGTTATGAATTTCAACAACTCGTCTAAAAACGCATTCGTTCCCGGTACGAACTGCTCAATTGGAACGACAACGTCGTTTGGATCATACATGCAAATCGCTCGACCTTCATCTTCGATAATCACATTATGAATTATAATGCATGCTAGGACCATTCGTTTAATTCTTTCTTTATCCCAGAGTCGTGTAACATATTTCATTACATGCCATGTCTGTTTAAGGACTCTAAATGCCCTCTCGATATCCTTTCTCGCCGATTCCTATTTTTTTTTTTTTTGTAACAAACTTTGCCTTTTCACTTCGAGGAACCGAGTATGCCTTCATCAATGTAGAATAATCCGGGTATATCCCATCACCAAGGTAGTAACCGTATTTGTACGCATGCCCGTTCACCGTGAACATCATATCAGGTGTTTTGCTAGTCCAAATATCGTTGAAAAGTGGAGACTGGCCAAGAACATTAAGATCCTTGTTAGACCCCACTACTCCAAAAAAGGCATGCCATATCCACAAATCTTGAGATGCAACACCTTCTAGGATGATAGTTGGTTCACCTATATCTCCTCGAGTGAACTGACCACGCCATGCAGTTGGACATTTTTCCCAAGCCACATGTGTACAATCTAGACAATCAAGCATACCCGAAAATCTATGCCTCTCTTCATGAGCTGAATATAATCTCTCAATATCACGTTGAGTAGGTTTGCGCAAATATTCTTCGTAAAAAACCTCATAAACACATGCAAAAAACCAATCTACACATTCAACGGCGGTCCTCTCGGATACTTTCAAGTATTCGTCAGATGCATCGAATGTTATACCGTATCCCAAATACCTAAGAGCAACCGCACATTTTTGTATACTACTAAAACCCATTCTTCCTCTAGCGTCGGGTTTTTGTTTGAAAAAATCATAACGAGATTCTAAAACAATACTAATATGTAAAAATATAGCCTTATTCAAACGAAAACGACGTTCGAAGGAGTCATCATTATAAAGACAATTATCGGCAAAGTAATCACGTACCAATAAGTCGTGTGCGGCTTGGCGATCACGATTGACGACCGCCCTTGTACGAGCTGCATTCGAACTTTCTTTATCGTGAATGTGTTGCACAACGTTGAAGAATGTGTCGACGAATTCTACGTCGTCATCCGAGTCAAAAGTTGTTAGAAATTCAATATGTTTTGTGGAATCAATGTATATGTGTTTTGTGGTTATAGAGAATGAAGATTAGAATGAGGTGTAAGTTTTGGTGAAAATAGAATGTTTATTTATATAGTGAATTGAGTTTGAAAAAAAAAACGGTCAAAATAGCCGTTCAACTGCCAAATAAACTCACCGCCAATCATGTTCTCCGTTTGATTTCATCGTCGGAAGCACGGAAGAGCACGACCACGCCTGACCATGGAATGTCGGGGTGGTGTGCACGAAAAGTTTTCGTGTCCAACTAGACCATGGATTGCTTCGTGCCACAAGGTCTTATAAAACTACATCATCTAAATTTGTCAATTTCACATAAATATCCATGTTTTAAAATGATATTAAGCAACAATAACATTTAGTTCAAACTAGGGAAGAACCCCGCTTTGCGGGGTTGGAAACGCCAAATAATTGGAAGAAAAACAGAAAGATTTTATTGGGTGATTCAAGATTCCATTCCGTGGTTTGTTTGGTTGCGGATTCCTCCAAATTCCATTTTTGATAGATTTCAACATTGGGTTGGTGTAAAGAATTGCATTCCATTGTTTGTTTATAAATATTACCCAATCATCAAATAGAATGAAATTCGAATTGAAGATTCCTTTCCATACGGACCTAATTACATGGTTGATAAATTTCTCTGGTCAGTGGAACGAACTCAATTTCATTCTTTCTTTTTACTAAAAGACCAAAATACTTGTCGTGTATGTTGAAATAAAAGAATTTCCTATAAGTGAAATTTTGAAAATTCAATCAAGTTATCATCTCATCGTGTAGTTGCGTCTCCCATAGAGGTCACATTAAACTTCTCCCTCCATTTACTGTACATGGTACATTGCCATCATGAATTTAACAGTTCAAGATCTGTAGAAAAATTTACATAGTTAAAAATGTTCATTCAAGTGTAAAAATATTTCAATAATCTTGAAATTAGAATCCATACATGTAATATTTAAAGCTAAAGTATATTGTGATGGTTTTACATGGAATAACTTTAACTTGAATATCTTGTTGGTGAAAATCCACCTCTTCATCTTTTGACTTCATTCCCGTATGCGAACTCCAACCTGTTTAAATACACACACAAAAAAAAATAGGAAAACATGAGGAGAATACAAAGGGTTTAATTTGGGTTTTTATAAAACTTTTATTTTCCTAAATAAGGATGTAATCTGGTGGGTGCTTTAATTAATTGTTTTATAGTTATCAGAATCTAAATTTGTTGCTTCATCATGACTATTTCTCCAACAATCCAGCTATATCCCACAAATTCACATAACCATCAATTTAACAGAAGATAGGTAGGCACATTTTTACTAAAAATTACATAGAAAAAGGTACATCCCATATGTTCAAGAAACCATAAATTCAACACTTCTTTGCAGAAAGGGCAATGTGGTTGTAGCAATTGATAGAATATTACTACTTCTACACATAATTCCTATACATAAACCCAATCTTTGTATTCCAAGAGTATGATGATTACAGAAAACAATACATCCAATTTGGAATTTAAATTTCTGGAGATCAAGTATTCTATAAATAATGTACCAGCAATAAACATGAGTTGTTTACCTCTAGTTGGTGCAGAATCGGGAAGAGTCTTCCGCAGATATCCTGGCTGATAAATTAACAGGTTCTGAATACTTGCAAAGGGTGAACTACCATAAACAGAAAAGATGAGAATAGTGGTCAACCTCAACATGGCTGAGAACGGGAAAACTCTCTATAGTTTTGTAGTAATCGACAATGAAAGCAATCATCTTGTGCCCATGTTGTCTTAGTTGCTCTGCATCCATTGCCTTCAGATTCAGCATATTCTCCCTGTTATACACGCATCATCATGCTCAATCTGTGAGACACATATTTGCATTCAAGAAAAACGAAAGACTACAACACTTACATTTTCCTAATGGTTTTGTGAAACTCCCACAGCTAAAGAACTGAAAGATTTTATACTGAAAAAGAACAATCACTAAACTATTTATATGTAAAACCTAAAAAGAAAGAAAACCAAGCAAATAAACATGAGTTATTTACCTCTAATTACAAATGGATCACATATTCTGAGAAGAAGATGCTAATCGAGAATCAAACCCTCCTGCAACTACCTTCTAAAACCCTACTGTTTCAGTCAATCACAATCGACCGCCATGAAGTCCTTTAATAAATTAATTTAGATTCAGGTCTCCAACGCAACACCGCTAGAGGTTTTCATATTCTGAACCACCACCAAGACTGCCATCAAAATTCGACAAACAGAAATAGATAGATAAAGTAAAGAGAGATACCTCTATAGTGAAGGATGTGACTTCCCATGAATCTTCGAACGATTTGTGGTCTTTCGATCTGTAAAAATCATATACATAACCATAAAAGAAGCTCATCAAAAGCAAAAGGCAAAGAAAAAAAAATCACAACAAGCATATGGGAATTGGTTGGATGGTTTAGGGTTCTTAGTGGCATCATTCTTTTTCTTCAAGGCTTCAGCTTCTTGGTTTTTAGTGACAACCCCATTCGCAGAAATAATAAAAGAACAGTCGATTACTAATCATCTCTAAGAAATCAATGTTAGGGCTTTCTTGGGAAACAATGGTAGAAGTAGAAGACAATGAAAATAGAAACATTGGACCGAGCAGATGCATTAAACCTAATCCAGAAAATTGAGGGAGAAGACGAACCAACTTGTTGCAAGTTGTGGTCTTCCTTTGTCGATGTTGGCATATGGCTCTAGCGAATCCGGTACTACGAACCTTTGCAGGAGGTAGATAATGTGGTGGTACTTTGGTTTATTTTGCGCACGTTTGCAGGAGGTAGACGATGCGTAGGGCGGCGGTGATGTCCATTGTGACCATCTTGGGTAAATGGTGGAGGAGAGACTACCGGGCGGTGGTCGCAATGGCAATGAGAAAGGATCGAGAGGAGAGGAATAATGTCGTTGAAAGCCGCTGATGGAGGTAGAGAAGATGTGAAGGTGCGCCTGGGTTTTGAACATCGATCGGATGCTTGTAGATCGAGGTGGTGATTCTCTGGATTGGAGATAAACAGAGATAGCGGTGGAGAATTAACACGTATAAGCTGAATATCAGCACGTATACAAACGTGTACAATGAGTGAAACGAAAATGTTACAGCAAAGCAAAGGGTTTAAAAAAAAAAGAGAAAAAAAATATATTGAAGTGGTCCAATAGGAACATAGAACTGTTCATCTTATACTTGTAAATTAGTATATATATATATATATATATATATATATATATATATATATATATATATATATATATATATATATATATATATAACATATTCTAACACATAAATTAAACCTTTTTGTTTTTTTTTATTCCGAAAATATGAAAGATAAAATTTCTTACTTATATAATTATAAAAATACTAAAATGTTATATTATAATTAAAAATTTTAAAATTTAGTATCAAATATAAAAGTTAAATATTATTTAATATTTATTGGGATAAGTTAATTAGTTAATAAATAACAAAAGATTTAAAATTCTTTCAAACGGTAAAATGAATCATTCATTATCAAAAAAAAAACAACCTATGTTAAAGACAAATAAAAAAATTAATTTATATCGAATTACTGGATTAATCAACCAAACTATAGCCTCCAATAACAAAAACTGGATTTGAGATTGACTAATATATTTCGATTGAAACTATTTTATAGTATCCGTATTTTGATTAAAAAAAAGTTAAATTGTACTAATATCATTAGAAATTAATATTTCATAAGACCAATAACTATTTCTCGGAAAGTGAAAGGGCTTAAAATAAATTCTCCTGGTCAAAGTTTTACACACTTGAGAAAAGTCAATGCTCTTCCCTCCTTATCCTTCTTCTTCACCATAACATCACGCAATTTCTTTTCTCAGACTCCCATGGAGAAAAACCCTTCAATGGCCCGTTTCAGAGGAATCTTTGATTCTGTAATACTCATCACTGTTGCCGTTTTCCTCTGTACTCAGTCATCGTCGGTGGTCGCAGAGGACGATGAGAAGTGTTTGCGAGGCGTGAAGGATTCGTTTCGTGATCCAGACTTGAAGCTTCACTCCTGGAACTTCAATAACAATACCCCAGGATTCGTCTGCACATTTGATTTCATCGACTGTTGGAACGATCAGGAAAATCGTTTGCTTACGCTCAATCCTATTAACTTAGGCCTCGCCGGAACAATTTCACCGAGCCTCGAGTTTTGTCTGAGCTTACAGAATCTAGAACTCTCCGGTAATCGTCTCACCGGTTCCATACCCAGGGACCTTTGTAAGTGGATGCCTTATTTAGTCAACTTAGATCTATCAGACAACCAATTGTCGGGAGAGCTTCCGGATCTCGCTAATTGTTCGTTTTTGAATAAGCTTGTCCTCTCCGGCAATCAATTTTCTGGTCGTATACCACCTCAGTTCTCAAATTTCGGCAGACTATCTGAGTTTTCGGTTGCGAACAATGCTCTTTCTGGTCCGATTCCACCAGGCTTGTCGAGATTTGGTTCGTCCTATTTTGATGGGAACAGTGGACTTTGTGGTGAGCCGCTTAGCAAGTGCGGTGGTTTAAGCACGAAGAATCTGGCGATAATTATCGCCGCCGGTGTGTTTGGGGCAGCGGCGTCGTTGTTAATAGGGTTTGGGTTGTGGTGGTGGTGCGTGACGAAATCGAAGCAAAGGAGACGCTACGGAATCGGCGGAGACGACGATAGCAGTAGCTGGGCAGATAGGTTGAGAACTCACAAGCTTGTTCAAGTCTCTTTGTTTCAGAAACCACTTGTGAAGGTCCGATTAGTCGATTTAATGGCTGCAACAAACAATTTCAGTAAAGAGAGTGTCATCATTTCATCAAGAACAGGAACAACCTACAAAGCCATTCTCTCCGATGGATCTGCTCTCGCGATCAAGCGACTTAGCAAATGCGACCTTCACGAGAGGCAATTCCGAGCTGAGATGAATCTATTGGGTCAACTCAGACACCCTAATCTGACTCCATTGTTAGGTTTCTGCACAGTAGAAGAAGAAAAGCTCTTGGTTTACAAATACATGTCAAACGGAACTCTCTCTTCCACATTATCTAAACAATCAAGCTTACTGGATTGGCCAAGTAGATTTAGAATCGCCCTTGGTGCAGCAAGAGGCCTTGCTTGGCTCCACCATGGCTGTCGACCTTCAATCTTACATCAAAACGTAAGCTCCAACGCCATATTTCTTGATGAAGATTACGACGCTCGAATAGTAGATTTTGGATTAGCTTCCCTCATGAATTCTAACGAAGGTAGCTTTATCAACGGTGACCTTGGTGAATTCGGTTATGTAGCTCCGGAATACTCCATGACCATGGTTCCTTCCATGAAAGGCGATGCTTATGCTTTTGGTGTGGTGCTCTTAGAACTTGCAACTGGTCAAAAACCCATGAATGTAACAGCTGCTGAAGAAGGGTTTAAGGGTAGTTTAGTCGATTGGGTGAATCAGCTTTCAAGTTGTGGACAGATGGAGAATGCGATTGATAAGAATGTTCATGGAACAGGTCATGATGAGAAAATTGTGAAATTCATGGGAATTGCAGGTAATTGTGTTACGCCTCAAGCTAGATCAAGATGGTCAATGTATCAGGTTTATGAAGCATTGAAGAACATGGGACAAGAATTAGGGTTTTCTGAACAATATGATGAGTTTCCACTTCTTTATGGCATGTAGAATCATGTCTATTCATTCGATGCTTATAAATTATAGCTATTAAATCCAGCATATATCTTCAAGAATGCTATTTGGGTATCATTCAAAATCTGGATTAGAAGTTAGTATTTATTATTTGTAGTATATAATAAATGAAATTTGATTATTTTTATGATACTAAATGATTCTCAATTAGCCTCCACTTCCACTTCCATTTGATCATTTTGATGCCATTTTAGCTTTAACTTTGATAAACTAAAAACATGAAATTTACTGTCTACAGCTATTAAAAAAACTTTAAAATCATGAGCTATTATAAGATCATTTTTATTGTTTTAATGATATATATATTTTTTTTTATTTTGTAAAAAAAAATGGAAATAGAAGCTGTAAAATAGGAATTAGGAAATGATTGATGAACAAAATGAAGGACGAAAATGACCTTAGGTAATATCTTCTTAAGTCAGCATATCTCGACATAAAGGATCTACCTAACTCGCTCCCTTTTACTTGTCTTCATGTGCTGGTTTTGAAATATGTGACTTTATACACATGTCATGTTCGCATATTATTATTATTATTTTTATTTATTATGAGGTTATATTAGTTAGAGTACTTAATTCGGACAATTATACATTATCTTTTTATTTAATCTAGACAGAATGACTTGATGACTTTGATGAGTTAAGCCAAAACAACCGACTTAATTGATTAAGACACTAACCTTTTACTATTGTGGAATTTATTATTTGGAAATATGCAAGTGTAAAATGATGATTTAGCTACAGTTTATTTAGTATAGGAAAAAAAAAAACAAAAACAAAACAAAACAAAACAGTTCTTATGTATTATGTATATAACAGTTTATTCGTACAAACATTGTTACTTGTTCATTCACTTAACCCAAATTCACAAGAAAAAAAAGAATCCGTTGTCATCCAAATTGAAGAAACACGATCCAAATACAACACACACATTAACACGTCCATTCTTGAAACCTTTGATGCAGATGTTAGCGTCGTGAGCGCCACATGGACGCCACCTAAATGCACGAATATGTTGTAACTGCTAAAACATGTTATATCATATTATAGTGGTTCATTATGAACAAAAATTATAGTTTGTTACATTCTCAGACATTAAAACCAGAAAATCAAGTAAATACCTTTAGTACTCGTATCATTTTAAATGTGAAGAACATCAATCGGTTTGTCAAAGATTTGTTAAGGTATTCTTCTTCAAGTTTGGTCCAAATACCTTTAGCACTCATTTTTTTACTAATCTATGGAATTATACGCTCACTAGTGGGTAGTTGCAAAGTTGTTAGTACCTATTCCTATGCTTTTCAAACTCTATGGATAAGATATTTGGTGAAAGCTTGTCTAAATGGTAAACAATGCTATGAACATGATTCTCTCGAAGAAAAACTACTTGATGGAATCTTCATACTCGTTCCACTTCTCAGCCATAAGTGAAGAACACGATGCAACATACGAGCCACTAACATAACTAGATTGGATAGAGTGGTTACCTGAGGTGGTTAGACTCAAGATTAAGAAAACCCAAAGCTCTTTGATATATTTCGTTGAAGATCGTATTCGGTATTATAGCTTTGATAACATATGTTGTGATTTTAAATGCTAAAAAATAATGTTATATTTTTTTTGTTTGTAAAATAACATTATTTTTTATGAAGTTCTTGTATTGTGTAGTAGTAAGTAATAAATATCATTCATAAAATGATTTTTTACAAATTAAAGTAATTTCGGAATATATGTCAAGACCATTTTAAGATACTTATTTAAAAGTTGCTAAAGTTAAGACTTTTTTTTTTTTTTTTTTTTTAAGTCTATAATTTTGTATAGGAATAGGAATGGTACGTTCCATTGATTTTTCTAGGCATATATTGTAATAAATATAATAGATTATATAAATTAAAAGGAAAAATTACCTACTTTGCCAAATAAGTGGGCCATTTGATTATGATAGTTTGACCACTTATAATTCTTTTGGGTTATAAAAAATCTTCGAAACCAATTACCTGAAATTACGAGAGGGATTGAGAGTGGGTCACTCATGCATGCAATGGTATGTAACCCAAAAGTAAAAGAAAGGTGCTTTTAAAATTTGAATCTGGACCCAAATTCTTGAAACTTTCAAAATCAAAAACTATAAAAGAAAACACGACATGTAAAGAAAAGCTAAAGATTTCAAGAACAATAAAAGAAGACAACTAGAGAGTGAGACCAACTTTATTCATTGTTCGAACACTTCCAAACAGGTGAAATTATTCTTGTTTATTCTCTTTGATATATATATATATATATATATATATATATATATATATATATATATATATATATATATATATATATATATATATATATATATATATATATCTTTGATTATTGGATAATACATGATTGATGAAAAGATAGAATCCTATGGTTTTGAACAGTTTTTTTATGACTATTTTAGATGATGATGGGGAGAGATATTTTCCCAAATTGTTTTACATATTTGGATGCAACTCATGTCCATACAATTTTAATGCACACCAAACACGGATAAGACTGTGTATTTTGACATGTCATACGTAAAACACAAAGACTTTAAGTTATAATAGTTTGTTGTTATTAACATTTTTTTGCCTTTATTTTGTTTTCGGTTTTTATTAAACGGATGATTATAAATACTAACAATTGGCACCCGTTAATTGTGATTTTAACATCATATATATATATATATATATATATATATATATATATATATATATATATATATATATATATATATATATATATATATATATATATATATATATATATTTCATTTTAACGTTTATATTAATTCAATCTAAGCTGCTTAATTTGTTTTTTTTATCATAACATTTATTACTTAATTTGTGTCAATAAAAAATATATCAAACATGGCATATTTTCAGTTCCAACTTCCATTATTCTTTATATCACTATAAAATACGGCTTTTTTTCTTTATATCATAATAAAAGTATATTTTTCATTACATCATATTGTTGAAATATTCAATAATTTTATGGACGTTCGAATCCATATGAATTTATTAAACTACATATAAATATTCATTGAACCTGAGAACTTAAATTTCTACCAATTTCGAAACTATTCACACTGTTGTAATTGTTATATAAAACTGAGTTCTAAAATAAGGTCTTTATAATTTATCTCAATGGAAAATATCATTAAATTACAAAATTTGACCAATTTATTATTTATCTATATAAAATGTTAAACGACTTTACCTAAACTAACTAATAAGATAACTTTAAGCTCACATTTTAATCAAAACCCATAATATCGATCCAAAAAAAGTAAGTTGTATATTTTCTTCAACATATTAAATAAAACTTCAATCGAAACATGAATAAATTTTATGAAAGTTAGTTCAAAGTGCATGCAAGTACAATTTGTGACATTAAAAAATACATTTACAAACCGTTTAACTTCTTTCTGTTGCATCTTAACTTTTTTTACTTATTGACCATAATCAACGGTAAAAAGATTACTCATTTTAATCCATTTATAAAATCACCTATTTAAGGATGCAAAAAAAAAAAAAAAAAAAAAAGAAGATTTGTTGAAAGAAGAGAAGCCCTAAAAACATATGCAAAGTACTTTACTTAGGGAACACAACCCACGTAACAACAGGAATAAAGCTCAAAGCTAAAGCAAACACAATAAATACACCTTTAACAAATAAATACATCTTTTACCTATCCATCACACTTAAAAAAAAAAAAAAAAAAAAAAAGAACTATATTAATTAGATTTCATTAACTTTTCATCTAAATCCCAAATTCATGAATCTTTCAATTCAAACTTTGAACATTCTTACTTTCTTTCCAACAAAATGAAAAAGAAAAAAAGAAAAAAAAAAAAAAAAAAACTTGTTGTAGATCCGATATATCCATGTACACGAGTCTTTGAATCTAAGTTTAGGCTCGTTCAGGCGTTTCTCTCGCATTCCCAACTTTCCTATATAAAAAATATATATATATATATATAAATAATAATAAAAAAAAGTACAATGAAGTACAACCTTTACACAGTGTCGGATCCAGATAATTTTTTTAACGGTCAGACTGAAATGATATAGGACATATAAATCGGAGTATATAGAAAACACACTACAAGCTAAATTTGGAATTATTGTGTTTGATTTTGTTTTTTTATACATAAAAATCAGAAACAATTCCCAATCCAACTGAAATAACTAAAATGACATGCATTTACGGTTTACATTCTCTTCTATTTATCTTTTAGTAAACTACTAGTTAATAAAAAAATTCCAAAATATTAAGAAAAAACACAAAAACCACCAAATATGATGGTTTTTCCAAAGTAAAAAAAGAAAATGATTTTATTTTTTTGGTTTAGTTATGGTGAAAACAGAAACCAAACCGAACCACAAGGGTATATTAGTAAATAATGTCAACATATACGGGAGTCATTAGTCCCATGCATAAAAAAAAAATCATGCAAAAATTTCAGCTTGCAGTTTTATGCTTCATTTTGTAAAGTTTAGAATTGTTTTGGAGGGTATTTATGACATTTACCTGTTGTGAATAGGATCCGGTCCATTTGGTACTCTTCTCTTGCTCACGTAATTGACAACCACCGGCTTTGAAACACTGACACCTGGAATCACCAATTCCGGAGTTGTGATTGTGGAAACATCAAATAACAAAAAACAACAAAACCCCACCAACAATAATCCCCCAAAGAAAACCACCCTTTTGTTTCCTCCCATCACTCGTTAAAAAAAAATTACCAAAATACCCCTCCCCTCTTAGATGTCTTCTCCAAAACAGAATTTTGAGCACTCAACAAGACTTGTAACAGTCATAGTGGTTTTGGGATGAAGATAATGCATCTATGATTCTATCTCTATCTCTATCTCTCCCTTGAAAGAGAGTAGTATAAAAGAGAAGGTGTGTGTGTGTGTGTGTGTGTGTGTGTTTTTAACTTGAAGGGTAAGAGTGACCACTTTTTTTTAAAGATGGAATACTACAAGCAATTCTGTTGCACTTTTTCTTTCTACAGAGAGATGTTATTAGATAAAGGGTAAAAAAATAGATTAACTTTTGACAAGCATTCTTTGCTTTAGGTTGTCATTGGGTCCACAATAAATAAATAAATTACCATTCCTTTATCAAGTGAATTTTTATGTACTTGTTGTGATCCAAACTCCTAAAAAACATAATCGAGTTAAAAGTACAGTTTATAAATTCTATAATTTTTTTTTTTTTTTTTTTTGTACTTCAATTATTGGGTCCTTGAATTCAAGATTCTTCTATAGTTTTTTTTTTTGCAGCTTATGAAAGGAATGTTTGAAATAAAAGTGTCTAAAGTTTAAGGTATGACTACTTCTTTATGGTATCTAGATTTGTAGACATGTTTCTTTTCTTTTCTTTTATTTATTTATTTATTTATTTTTGTTGTCTTATGGGAATAGATACAAAAGAGTTTGCCTTCTTGTAAATCAAAGAATTATATAGTGGTCCAAAAAACTAAATGTTTTTATAACTTTACTAGGAATATTAGAATATACATCTTGTCCATAAGGCTTCATTTAAGTTGTAAAGATTCAAACTTTACTTGATTTGGGTTTTGTTTTTAAATTCTTTTTGTGTTGTAAGGATATAAAAATGAAAATTCCAAAATGGGTTTCTTATAATTTTTGAAAGTTCTAATTTTGAAAGTGAAAAGAATGTTATAAAACCTGAAATGTGAAGAGCTTCTTGAAGCTTATGATCTTCTCTTCTTCTGAGCCCATGTGGGCCCATATATTGCCAGGTGTGTCCTTCCAAAACGACGATCAGCTAACTACAATTTGCAGTTAGTTATAAAACCATAAGTTTATATTCGATCATTCAATGCATATATGATAAAAAAATTTAAAATATATATACATGGAGTAGATATTATAATTTTAATTAAAAAGTACATATTAACAGTTATAGGAAGTACCTTAACAAGACCCCCACATGTTTCCAGCATGTTGGTTCTGAATGGATACTCCACAACCTATGGAATAATAATTAAATATAAGATACCAAAGGTGTATATAAAATTTGATTAAAAAAAAAAACATAAAACTCACTACAAAAGAATCATCCCCAATGACAGATGATTCTGAAATCTGCTTCATTAAAATCTCATAATCCACTTCCATGTAAGGAGGTGTGACACTTATGTAATCAAATGGTCCATCTTTTCCTGCAAACAAAATACCTTTTTCATCTACTCATATTTCATAAATATATATATATATATATATATATATATATATATATATATATATATATATATATATATATATATATAATTACCTGAAGATTCTTTAATGCGCTCAAAGTAAGTTTCCACACGAACTGTGTGTATAACAGAATTATCAAGAAATCCAGTCCATTCTAAATTAGGGCGCAGAACATCGGATACAACCCATGGATCCATTTCCACAAAATGGACCTAAAAAAAGTTTGAAACAAAGTAGTAAGCTTTTGCCCATAATACCAACATACTTACCTTTTTCTTTACATATATAGCAATGTATTATATTCATAATATGTAAGTAGATTGCTATTATAGGAAAGAAAGAAAGTAGATTGCTATTATTGATTTAAGAGTAAAGATACCTGAGAGCATCCTCTGCTGATAGCTTCTATGCCAACAGATCCTGTGCCACTGTATAAGTCTAACCATCTTCCAGGCCTTAAAGATGTAGGGCATCCACCAGCAGCCTCAAGAAACCAAACATTTTTTTTTCTTATTTTAATACAAAATTTATATACTTGTTCATCAAGGGTAGAATTGGAAATAGTACCTGCAAAATACCAAAAGCTGCACCTTTGACTACTTCCATCATTGGGCGAACATCCATGCTCTTTGGGGATAGTAATTTCTTCCTTCTTGCTGTTCCTCCAAGAACCTGTAATTTTGTAATGTTATAATCTTGATAATGCCCTTTGTGATCCATTCTCCTGTTTTTAGGTTTTGTTAATTCATGGAATGTTTTGTAATCTGTATAAGATTTTGTGTGATTGAGTGATTTGTTAAAACAATAAGATTCACTGGAACTGTGAAATTGAAGAGATACAATATAGTAATCAATTAATTTTGATTTCTATGAGAATTGGTTCCTATAAGATAATCATCATGTTTGAGTAATCAATATAGTAATCATTTACATCCTTTGAGAATTGCTGTAATGATTGAAGTAACAGATTCTACACACCTGAAGCAACTTATGAGTCTCCCTAGGCTTAGCTTGCTCATGTGGTGCTCTGACCTGTTTCCCTCTTCCAGTCTTTTGATGCTCTTTATTCCTTCTCGACTACATAAAACCCTCAAATCAATACCTACAATCAGTTTTACACTTACGAGAAAGAGAGAGAGATTGACTGACCTTCGAAGGAGTAGGTTCAGAGAGAAATTCATCGGGATCGAGACCGTATTGTTTGAGTAACTCCCTCTTCTCTTCCGTGGAATTAGGCGATTCTGGAATCAAAACCCCCCAAAAAAACAAATTAATCCGTTATAGGTGAAGAATCGAGAACCAACAAATGGATTCTGTATAGATAGGAGTGGAGATGGAGTTGAGAAACTTACTGAGAGATGACGAACATATGATGGTTGAAGGCCGCCGGCACAGCCGCGGAGTGGAGATTAAGGAACGGTGGGTGAAGAGAGTATAAGGATTATCGGCAGTAACAGGACGCCATGAAGTTGTCGTGGGTATTGCAGAAAACGCCATGAAACCTTAGCCGAGCAAGCCCTTGCTAATTACAAGTTTTTCCTTCACTAGCAAACCAATATTATTACCGTTGGTGTTGGAAGGTGGATTAGTTATCTAAAGACTAAAGAGGATGCACAATCATTTTGGTAAATTTTATTTACCACATTCTACTTTTATACTTACTAGTAGTTTAGATAGGAAAAAATATTTTTATTTATTTATTTTGTGATTTTTTTTAAATTAGGAAGATGGAGATGGTGTCATGACGACATCAAGTCACTAGAGTTTTCCAGGTAGGTGTTTTCATAAGTCATATGACTTATTAAACGGGGATCAAAATATCTACGAGTGAGGAGGAGCTATAGAGTACAAAGTGAACATGGTTTGTTGGATCAGAGACTAAAATCTGCTACCGATCTTCCTTTTTTTTTTTTTTTTTTTTTGCCTCATTGCTTAAATTCATTGTAAACCTTTTTTTTTATGAGTTTAGGTTTCCTAGTCAGAGATCTTCGTTTCTTTACATTTTGTTTGGTTTTCTCAAAGATCAAAACACACCTACCATCGTCTTATCCGGACTCATCCTCAAACACTCCGTGAACTACAACCTCCATTCACTCTAACATCTCCACTCATAACTACCTATGGGCAACATTGTGTTTTGTCATAGATTGTTGTCATGAACTAAGTTTGTGAGACCCTACACCGTTTCCTACAAAACACCATCCTCTTCAAATGCTTCCAAAGACTTCTATTTGTTGCAAAAATCCACACACATAATCAATCATGACCTTTTCTATTCGCCATAAAACGCATGCACACAAAATCAACCATGGTTTAATGACATAAATGTCATTCTTCCAACAAGGGGGAAAGACGTAAAAAGAAGAAAAGAAAGAGTTTGTGGCTTACACAAGGTAAAATTGCAATTTCTAGGATGGTGTAAGAAACATAAAGTTCAATGAAAAATAAACTAAACTCCAGGAAAGTGTTCCCTTAAAATTGCAATTTAATTGACATATTAAGACCATGATCCTATCTTTACAATTGCTTAACTTAAACAAGTGA